ACAGCTCAAACATAAATATTTATAAGTAGCCTAGTCAGTGTGCAGGGGTGTTTTTGTTGGATTTTTTTTAAAAGCAATAATCTCACAGTAGCTCTTTGGGCAAGACAAGTTATGGGATTACTTTGTGTGAAGAAAGGTGTCTGTTCAGAAGCAGAGAATGTTAGGAGAAAAGTTTGTTAGCTAAGGAAAAACTGATAAACTATCACTAAATATTCAGTGAAAATTCAGAATTAGGAAGCTTATAAAGCAAATGTGACTGGAAATTTTTTATTATAGTGAAAAATTGTCCAATAATTCATTTAGCCACACTTCCATTGACTGTGGCTTCAATTTTCCTGTATTTAAAATTTTGGCACCATATGTTAAAACTGTCTTACACAATGCCATTGGTTATCTGGAAATGATAAATCTGCTCATTGATTTCCTAATTTTATTATGTACATAGTTAATTGTAATCCAAGATTACAGCAAACAAGATGTTAATTTCTAGACAACCTATGTACATTTTCCTCAGTGTGATTGTTATAGAAGCAAAGAATACAAAGAGAATACCATTTGTGCTATCCTCACAGGAGCTGTCAATAAAAGATGTAATAGGGGATTTAGGAATCTGGAAATGACCAACTAATTTATGTGAATCTATTTTATTTCAGCTAGAAAGACCAAGCTCTGTTTCGTCTGCACTGCATATTGCAGAGCACAGGCTGTCTATAGAAAACCAGGCGGCTGCATATGGATAGTCCCTTGATATCATTCACTTGCTGTGTAATCTTATTATGCAAAGTTCTAATCTTCACCTAGAATGAATGCCTCTGGGTCAGAATATAGTCATATCAGGGTTTTTGAGGTCATGTTTTGTGATCCTTAGCTTATTCTTCTAAGTAGGGCTGGGATTTAAAGAGTATTCCCCAGACACTAGCAGAGATAGATGGCAAAACCTGCTGCCTTTTTGGAAGACAAGACCAACATGAGGTCCCTGGTAGGATTAAACTTGATTTGTAGCTGTAGGATTTTTTAACAGATGTATTATTGGACAGGGAATAGGGGGCCACCAGCACAGCGAAATTGGATCACGATTGGCATTCTCAGGGAGTCCGCTGGCTGCTAAAACAGCAGCTGCATGTGGATTTGACTTCTTTCAGGTGAAGCGACTTCCAGTCATTTGGAAAGGATGGGATGAAAAGGAACCTTGGTGATAATTTTGATGTCTGCAAGATTTAGTACCAATGTAATGGGATTATCGGTAACACCTTCACTGCAGAAAAAGCCACCTGGCGCTATAACTGGCAGCAACTGAGAACTAATCCTTTCCCATCTCTTGGATGTCATTCATGAGGCTCAAAGTGATTTCCACCCTGCTAGCTGTGATTAATTTTATAAACAAACAAACAAAATCAAATGCTGAAGGCATAGGCTATGTAACGAAAAGGGAACAGAAGATAATAGTAATTACGTTTAGCATTTTATTTGCTGCAGGGGATAAACTATACAGTTTTTGTAAAATAACCAAATTGTATTCTACATGATAAATATGAATGTTTAATCTTTTTTTTAAATCAATGCCTATATTTAAAACCAACATTTATTTCAGTATAAAATTTTCAACTACCTATATGATAGTAGGGAGCACCTGGAAGTAATGACAACAGATTTTATGCAGTTAGTTCTGTGATAAGATTGTTTATACAACAGATCCATTAAGTTTTCAAGGGGCCTGTGACTTAAATAATTTGTTTTATTGTGCTTAATGGTTTTATGCTGTATCTGGTGGAGTTGCCTGCCAACAGCACTTTGTATTAAAATTAGTTGTGTGATGTGGAAAAACGTTGAGCTATTTACCTCCTTGTGATCAACAGTATGGCATTATTTGAAAATTGTACTTATACTTTTCCGAGAAAACAATTATTTTACTGATGTTTAAGGTAGAACAATTGTAAGATAAATACTCTGTGGTCTTTTTAATCAACTAGAATTGTTGAGTTTTTTTGGCTGGGTTTACTCTTATTACAACCATTCACTTCTTAACTAGAAGTTGTTACTTAAAACTACACGGAAACCTTCAGGATTGTAGTTAATTCTGTGGAATAAACATTAGATATCTAAAGATGGATCTTTAATGTTGAAAACAACCCCCCCAAATTCTCTGAAGTTGTCTTGCTGGGTTCAAACTGTGTATAATCTAGGTGTATATCTATGCCTTGAAATTAACTTTCTTGAGTAGTAATAAAAAGCCTTCTATAAGAGCTAAGAGTTTTTCATCATTGTCATGAAAACCTGATAAACCTGAGCATTTAAAAAAACCAAACAAACATTAAAAATTGTGCCACATCTATAAACTGGGACTGGTGAAATCCATGTTTTAGGGGTTAAAAATTTATTTTCAGAAAACTGGAAATAAAATTTGAGACCACCTTCACTCATGTTCTATACGTAGGGTTAGTTTTTACCATGACAGCTCTAGCAGTAGGTAATGCTTGCTCTGAACCCCATGTTTCCTTGAATAATTTACAAATTTATCCCTCCCAATTCAGAGTTACTCAAGAGACACCAGAGAGGAGTAGTGTAACTATTGGGAAGTACACGTCATCCAGAGTCTAACAAGAAATCAGTTGCAATCAGTTTGAAACTGATTTTCAGAGACACATAGCAGTTGTTTGTAGCTTCATAATAAAAAAGTTTTAGTTATGGCCTCATATCTGTTGGTTTGAGGCGCTTACATTTTCTCTTAATGAGTCTGCCATTACCATTCCATTTAGTTCAATCAACAATATCTACATACTCTGGTCAACAATTGTATAAACAATTGTTTATACAATTCCTTTTAACCTGTAATATCCACAGGAGCCTGAATTCTATACTATCGTAATATATTATCTTTTAGAATATCATGGATCTGAAATACAGGATGGTTGTGCAGTGTTTTTCTGTTTGCCTCAACTGAGAAGCAATGCGAGACTACTCTTCTAGCAGGTGCTGTTAAGAAATATTGATGGTGGCCTTATCTCAAAGGATAGTTGTGGTCATTAATTCACACTAGTTGTGCAACTCATATCGATCTGCTGTCACTCCATCTTTCTTTTATCACCTGTAACACATTTCTGGCTCTGAGAGTAAGGAGCTTGTCCAAGCTTTTTATAGTGTACCGGGTTGAGAAGAGCAAACCACTTTTCTGGCTCTCCAGAATAAATTCTGCTGAAAGTACCTTCTGCTTCCAGCAAAGCTGTTTCAGTTTCTGCAGGGTGTCCTGCAGTGTGCTGGGCACTGCGTGTGCTAATGAAACAATTCAAGACTCTGTTTTCTGTTGTATTCTGGGTCATTGCTGTGAAACTCATTAGCTAAGATTAAGGATGATAAATCACAGATTGGTTTAAATGGATTTATTCTAGAGATGTTTTATGTAAAAAACAAGACAAAACCCAAACCAAAAAGCAAAACCACATCATTTTGGAACAAGGAAATGAGCTTTGTAGAGAATGTTTTCCCCCAAGAATGACCATCTTTTTTTCTTTATAAATAAATACTAAACATAAAGAACAAAAGCCACTTTTGACTGTATTCAGGCAAAATTTCCATTAACTGCTAGAGAACACTGTGCAAGTAAAGCTGTGCACTTTTAAATTCCTGCATTTAAATAGCAAAACATAATGAAACATAGAAGGGATGTCTTTAGTTCGTTATCAAGTAGGATATATTATGTACACAGCAATTTTCAACTTGCTGCATTTGTGTAGCAAGCTATATTGACACATTCTAGTAAATGAGGGGGATCTTGCTGTGGCTTTAGTTCATGATAAAGCTGATACTGGGTTTAAGGAGGACAGGTTTCTTGCACAATGTAAAACTTGCTTCAGTTACTTCAGTATATGTGTGTTTTTTCACTTCCTTATGAGGAAAAAAAAAAAAATCAGGGTAAGGAAACATCTGAGTTAGATTAGCATTGCAGGAATTACATCTGATCATCAGTTTGACTTAAGGGGGGAGGGGGTCAGAAGACACAGGTACAGTGTTATGTGCTGCAGAACTTATGCCGCTGTACTGTAGCTGAGAACAGAAGGACCTAATGCCTTATTTTTATGTGCAAGTATTTTGGTAATGGAACTCTAGTCAAAGGAAAACTCTGCAAAACCTTCAGAATCCCTATCAACAACTGCATTCTTTTCCTAGTATAGAATTAAGCAAGCCATCCAGGACACTATTATCCTTAATTTTGTCTAGTTCTTCAAGCCTCTTTTCGTTTGATTGATTGTCAAGCTGCTGTTAAAGTTTTGGTTGACTACTTGATTACTCCAGTTTTCTGTGAATGTAATTTCAGTTGTGAAACATCTTCAGATCACTTAAGATGGTTTGATGCTTCTCTATTTTGCTGTTGTGTTCAGTTTTAAATAGTAGTGCTTGAACAAAAAAAAAAAGAGTATTTAAGTTGCACTGTCTTCACATGGTTAAAACTCTATCAAATGTGATTGAATAAATAATTGCATCTGAGTTATAATGTGTGGTCCAGTCAGGGAGTCAACGCCTGCATTGAAAGTAATGATTACAGCTTTCTAGATTCCGTTCAGCCAAACCTAGTGGAGGGGAGGATGTTCTCATAACTATTGGAGGTATTTAGACATGTGGCAGGTAAACCTGTTGGCTGTCTTGACTAAAAGAAGCCCAGCCAAGTCAGCGGGGAGCAGTGACACCATTCGCTCCTGTTGATTTCTTTAGTTTGGCAAAGGTGGTTTTGTTTTCAGCTCCCACTCAACTGAATCTCACTAATAAGGTGGTGAGAGGGCTCCACCGATTGTACACGTAGCAGAGACTGTGTAGTAAATTAAAAATTTCTTGATGGCATTTGAGTTTAATATTTATTGCCTCAGATATATCTGATTATTTGCTGGGTTTATTCACTTTTTTTTTTTTTTTTTTTTTTTTCCATCAGTTGTTAGACACAAAAGATAGTTTTGTAAACGTTAGGTTGTTTGTTATCAAACGAATGATATTCTTCTGTTTTACTGTAGACTGGAACCAGCTGAGCGACGTAACACTGTACCATGCTTCGCAATGTCCTAGGAAAAACCTTGCGATTTCTTGGGTATACTGTGCAATACGGCTGCATAGCGCATTGTGCCTTTGAGTACCTTGGAGGAATTGTTGTGGTAATTGTTGTGTTTTCGTTTTCATGACATTTATAAGAAAGTAAAACTGTAATACTGAAATTATTATATGCGATAATGCCAATATTTCAGCTTTCTTCGTTTTCCTTAAAGCTTTTTCAAAGCATGTTTAGTGAATGCCTGTTGTTTTGGAGGCAGGTCTAGCCTTTATGAACGTTATTTCTACTTTAGGCATTGGTATTTTTTGCTAAGTTATTGTTAGAGGCATCACTGAAACGAATGGGAAACTATGATCAAGTATTTTGCAGAGAGCACACTCTTCCAGAAAGACTGGAGTCACTAATAATGCCAGAGGAAATATTCTTCTTTCCAGCTCTGGGCAGATTTCTGGATGTTTTACGCTCCCTGACTCTCTGCCTCAGGTTCTAAACCTAGCAGATACTGCTGCTGGACACAGGGGAGTTGGGCTGGGAGCTGCTTGTGCAGCTTCTGTGATGATTCTCTTTTACAGAGGCTAAAGAAAGGGGTAAGCTGGCAGAGCTTCAAGTCCTGCCTCGGATCATTTCCTGCAGAGTAGGTGCTGAAATGAACCTGTTGGGGCTTGCAGCACCTAGCACAGGTCAGGACCAGTCCTGAGCAAACATGGAGCTGTAACAGTTAGAGGTGCTCTGGAGGCTGTCCTCACCTTTTAAATGTATTGGATGTTTCTTGGAGGATCTCCCATTGTTAGTTATTCTTTATATTATGCCTTTTATAACGTATTAGTAAATAATTTGAATGTTAATGTATTTTAGATAAAAGTAATTGGAAATAGTAATTTTTTTTTTTCTCATTTATTTTTAATTTGCAGTGTTCTGGACCGTCAATGGAACCAACCATTCAAAATTCTGATATTGTCTTTTCGGAGAATCTTAGCCGCCACTTTTATTGCATTCGAAAGTATGCTGCTTTGTTGAGACAAGATTTTACATTCTGTTTGCCAGATCTTGTTAATAACCACATTCTATCCATCCTTTATTTTTCATGTATTCTTCTGTTTTTAAACTGTAACTTTTCATAAATCTTCTCTCATTGTGTCTGATGGAAGATACATACAGCCCATTGAACAACTTGCCTGAATTATTTAGGGTATCATCTGTGACACTTTTACAGGTCTGTCCAAAAAACGGAAAAATTCCCATGTTTTTTTTTTTTCCTAAAACAGTTCTATTGTGCGAGTGTAACGTCTCCTCTCTGAGCAGTTACCTCGTACTTGAAAGCCAAGCTCTAGGTATTGCTGCACTCAGATAGGTTGTAGGAAAGTGACCAAATAGTGTAAGTACTGTTTATCAAATGTCATTTTATTCTTGTGTTGTAGAACGCAGGATACTCAATTCTGAATTTATTTTATTTTCACTGTACCATCTGATGTATATAATCAGGAGGCAAAAGTAATATAAAGTTTTACAAACTTAGATTAGACATTGAAGCTCCATTGGAAGAATAACATTTGGTCAGTAGCATTTAGGACCATGGGATCTGTTCAGTTCCATATTTATGTAGCAACAGGATCAAGTTAAATGGCATTCACTTAACCAGAGCATTGCCAATTCAAATGTAGTCTTAGATGTTTCATAAATGATCTAAATAACAAAGAATCTCTCCAAATGTACTTAAAAACTGTATGTAAAATTATACCCTGAGTAAAACTGAAAACACCTAAACTGTAGGCAAGAATTTTCAGAAGTATCTTTAACATACATGAATATTTTTGGAGTATACACATTGATGCACATACATTCAGCCAAACAGTTTTTACTTAGAGTTCTTCTGTTTGTTTTTGTTTCTGTTTTTTTTTTTCCTCTCAGAGGAGATATTGTAATTGTGAAAAGCCCAAATGACCCCAAATCAAATATCTGTAAAAGAGTAATTGGCTTGGAAGGGGATAAAGTCTGCACAAGCAACCCTTCAGATTTCCTTAAGAGTCACAGCTATGTAAGTATTAGAGTTTCTTGCTTTGTAAATTAATAATTGGTTAAGTAGGCCTGGTAGACTGTAAGGGATTTGCAATATTTGAGTATCGTCATAAAGAATGAAGATTATAAATTATTCTTCTTGTATATGTACAGTAAAATGTGATTTGTAAACTCTTTATGGCAAGCTCTCTTTCTCGGTGTCTTTTGTCTCTGTAGGAAGTGTAGGCAGAGGATATTTTTGCTCTGCCCTTTGCTTAGGTCTTCTTCCCTGGAAGAATAATCTAAAAAAATCTTTGCATAAAGTGCAGTACGGATGGCAGACTCAAGGGCTTGGTTTTAAGGCAAAACTGTTTCTGTATTTTAAAAAAATAAGTGTTTAAAGTGAAAACTTTGTCTCTGCTTTGAGGATTTTGCTTTCAGAAAGATATTTTAGTGTATCTCTTTATTTCAGTGTAACTATTTTAATTTTATTTCAGTGTAACTATTTTTTCTGTGTATGGTTGAAAAGTAGTAATTTTCCTAACTTGTCCAAAAAGTCAGGTAACAAAATGAGATGAAAAGGAAAAAAAGACTTAATGTGCTCACTTGTCCTTACACAGATAGACTTAACAGATGTTTGGAAAGATTTGTGACAAAATGTTTTCAGCGACTTCTTTTTAGCCTATCATTGGAAGAATCATCAGAAATCATGATCACAGAAAAATGTAGGTTTTTTTTTTCCCAAAAGCTTGCTTGACCATTACCTCTGCTCAGCATGCTGAGGAGACATGAGACTTTGCACGGGTGTTTTGAATCTTAAAAGAAAGATATTCTGTTGCTTTTTCCTATCTTCTTCATCTTCACAATTAGAATTAGTATCTGGTCCATAGCTGAAGTCCCGTATTGTGAAGGTGGAGAATTTTATGGCACATTCCTTGCAGCCAGCTACAGTTTGTAATAGATAAATCTTTTAAGAGTTTAGCTACCCTAAAGAGAGCCAACTTCACCAGCGTGCCTTCGGGTACCATTGCTTCTTTGGTATTAAGCTGCAGTCTGTCCTTACTAAAATCAATGGCAAAATTCTTCTCTGGATTTGGTGTCTGGATTTAGTCAAGACCTAGGACCAGAAAGCAAGGATATGATTCATACCCTATTCTGAAAGATTGAATTTGTTGTTTCCTCCACTCCAGTGTTGAGGCAAGACCTTTCGCGCTCCTGCCTCTAATCTGACCTTCTGATTAAGTGCCAGTACCACTGGAGCTTCTGTTTCCACTCACGGACAGAAAGAGGGAACTCATTCTCTGTGACATAGTGAAGGGGAGGACTGAGCATTTAGTTTTTCCATAAAGCAAATTGTGTTACTGTTTAACCAAGGAAAAAAATAAAAAAAACTCCACAGAACTCCAACATACCTTTCTTACCAAGTTGAAGAAATTTTCTAGCTCCTATGGGAGTAGTAATTTAGATGAAATACAAATTTCCCAGAACAGAATGATCTGAAATGGAAACCTGAATTCTGTGTACACTGACAGAAGATGCAAACTGAGTTTCTCTCAGCATCTTGTTCCTCACTTGTCTTCGTCTTGAAATGGAAATTCAGGAAAGATTTGCACTCACCAGGGTGTCAGCCTTTCTGGAAACCCTGAGGTAATCGAATATCCAGCAGAACAATTTCTGCCTTAGGTGTCCTGTCTTCACGTTTAATACAAAATGTAAGGAGGATGAGGGGATGAGGAATGCAGAGTCCATTTCCTGTTTTCCTGTATTTTGCAAAGGAAATACAGCAGAGTGACATGCAAGCTTTCCTAGTTCTTACATCATAACTTGTATCTGGGGGAGGAATGATCTAAATGGAAACACTATTGTTTGTCAGTGTGTATCTGTGTTCCTCCTATCTTTAGTGGTGTTGAAGAGGTAGATCTTACCACCTGTTCAGGAGATATATTTCCTTTACAGGAGAGTAGATTCTCAGCATAGATAGTGCACTTTGTGCTCATAATTTACACTAGATTATTCACTAAGTAAATTCTTCTTGTTGTGAAGGGAAAAAGTGATACATGTCTGTGTTTAGGGAATTGTCTAAAGAGATTCCTTATTTTAGGGAATGCACTTCTAATTCAGACACAACATTCTTCAAAGCAGACAGAAGCAGCAGATACACAGAGAACTGGCTCTTTGGTTGATACTTCCTTGAGAAGAATTAACCTGAGTTGAGTATTGGGAAAAAGATCGTTGAAACTGAGGAAAGGCCTTGGCTGGGATCCCAACAGACCAGAAGTGCTGTCTGGGGTGTCTAGCTGCCGGAGAAAGGTACAATTGCAGGCACTCCTTCAGTGAGCAAAGCCTAGACACTGTCATGGGTTTTGTTGTTTATATAAGGCCACTAACAGCTTTTTATAAAATGAGAAATCTCTGAGTGACACTTAAATACAGTGACTCCAAAGTGTCTAAGGTCAGAGAGTTTGACCACTCGCTTTTCCTTGACTAACTTGTCTCCTGTTTTGGGGAGTGAGGAGTTAGTCATGTTTGCAAGTTTATTACAGTACAGTAAATATAAAGTTTCAGGTGACGGAAATATTACCAAATTAGGTAGTTTGAACCTCTGCTTCATTCTCTGCTGGTGTTTGCCAACCAATGGTTAGGTATTAGGAGTTAGCCAGTAAGTGGAGATGTCAGAATAATGGCAGTGCTGAGTGAAACCACCTCTGAGCAGCTGATTCTTTTGTCACCCCAAAAGGAGAATCCTTGTAGTCATGTAAGAAGGAATTGTGCTTAGTCTGCATTGTGTCAGTGTTAGTGTTGGCAGACTTTAAGTTAGGGATTTTTGTGCCTAGAAGCGCCATCACACATGATTCTTATTCTGAAGCCTAAGAGAATGCTAAAATGAGATCCTGCTTCCAGTCCTGTTTCATTCATGATTATACTTCTCAGGATGGCTTATACTATAGGTAGGAGAATAGAGAACTCTGTTTACAATCTTCTCTCTGTAAAATTACATAGATGTGATACTTTATTGCTGCAGCCAACCAAGGCAGATACCTATAGATTAAAAAAAGAAAAAAACAAACCAACTTTCCAAGCTATAACAAAAATGAAAAATATAAATAAAAATACATTGTCCCAAAAAGAGAGATTTCAGTTGAGGAGAAATGCATTATAGCAGTAGCAGTTATGTGAAAACCTTTATAGTGGTATAAAAATACTTCTGCTGCTATACTTAGTTGAAGTGATGCATCATATGAGAAAAATCATTTTTGTCAGAGTACACTTAAGTGTAAAGCTGTACCAAAACCCTCTCTTTGTTGGAGTCGCTGGATTACAAGATGATGGAACTAATCCCACATATCAAATTGATTGGTATAAATTAAGCACCTCCTTAAATTAAAATGTAAGTACCTAAGGAACGTCTTTACTTTGGACCCTTTGTGGTATATAATGCTTCATATGCTAGAGGTTGGATCTTAATGAGGGAAATCTTCCTATTTACATGAAAAGTAAAACAAAATTCCTTTTTTGAGGAAGCTGCTATAGTATTAAAAAGTTAGGAAAATGTAGTTTTTCTTTTCATTGCCCTTTTGTTGATATTTGGTATTGACTATAAGCATTAGGCTGGCAGTTTTGCTGGAGTCTTTTTTGGGTTTTTTTTGCTCAGTGATGGTGTTTATAGATCTAAACAAGTGTATTTACCATAATAAACATTTAAGAATGCATAACATATTTTTACTGTATCAGAAGCAATGTGGTATGAACCCAAAAGTTAAAAAGGTAAAGAACTAATTTTTTGTAATGTATTCTGACCTAGTTTCAATTATTAAAAAATATTGCTTTATTCATTTAACTATAGAACCTAAGTAATGAGGGTTAATAAGGAAATTACTCACAGTAAACCCCTGGAATGACCTTTAAAAAAAAACACCTAAAAGGTTAATTTTCATATTTAGTTTTTTACTTCCTGTTTTCAAAAGTCTTAATACAGATCCAGGTTTATAATTCAGATTGAGCATCCTATTGTTATATTTGAGTTTGTTTTAATGCCATTTACTTTAGCTTTAATTTCTTTAGTACCATATGTTCTTGTGCTGCAGTTCCTATTTACAAATTGAAAAAGTGAGGGGTAAGTCATCAGATTAAAACAGCTTGTATGTCATAAACCACCAATATGCTAAGCCTTTGTGTCACTTAAACAGAAGTAGTACCTAATAATGTCACTTAATACAGCTAGAGTCTGTAAATAAGGAACTGCCTTTTGCAAGTCAGAGTGATAAAAAGCTGAGATACAAATCCATATCTCAGCAACACTCTGCTGGTAATCAATCACAACACACCACTAATGCTGCGAGACTAGCTGATGTGGGGGGAAGTATGTTTACCTTGCGCTAAAATGAGGTTCATTGCGGAGATGGCATCTCTTCATCCTGTGGTTAACTCTACAGCTAACATAATTCCCAAGATAATGCATCTTACTGTGTTTGCAGATCAGAGAAGTGGTCTTACACAGCACTATTAACTCTTAAACAGTCCTTGTCAAATGCAGTAAGAATATTAGGTGGGTACTAAGAATAACGTAATGTTAATGCAAACAACGCAAATTCTTAACCTTACTAGACAGTACTACAGATTGTGGATGCACAACGTAAAATACTGAGAAGCAGTTTGATATTTCAGAGTGCTCAATACCATTGGATAGTCTCTCTAAAATATCCTAAATAGCGATTAAAAATGAAGTTCTCAAAAGATTAGTTCTTTTTCCTTTTTTCTTAGCATCTTAGTAGCTAGTTTACACTCATGGTTCAGTATTCCAGTAATCGAAGTTTTAATAGTTGGCACTCAGGAATTATCTTAATCTCTCTTCTTCTCCTCCTTAGTTCTAGTGTTCTAGAGACTTGAGAGAAAGTCATGCCCTAATTTCAAGCAGCAGCTATGCTAAATGTCTGGTGGGAAAGGAGAACTGATTTGGTGTATTTAGTTTGCAGATTTGTTCAGTTTGCAGATCCCCCTATAGCCCAGTACATAGAGCTCATGACTAGAGCTAATCTTGAA